TGATCGGTGACTTCAAGGGGTCCCAGGCTTTAGTAAAGGAAGTACCTGCAGATGTGGTAGAAACAGCGGAACTAGAATTAGCAGTGGAGCCTGCGATGGGATGAGTCGCTGCAATCTCGTGGCAGGACTTTGAGGGATGAGCAGAGAGAGTGGGCACCTGGGACAGAATCGGCTCCTGGCGAAGGTGCTGCGAAGACCATTGACTTGACCACAGAGGCTTTAGAATATTAAGTCAACGCGGTGAAGCAGCCACAGTGTTTGAGAGAAACGACTCCAATTCTGAAAGCTCTGTGGGCAAAAGGCTACCACACGGCATGGAGTGCGACAGAGAAGTCACTCGTGAAAGGAGAGCCCATGGTGCAGCAAACTTCACTGCTGTCTTAGTTTCAGAAATTGCCAAGCCCCCCCCCAACCTTCATCAGCCAGCACCCTGATCCGCCAACACTGAGGCAGGGCCCTACACCTGCAACGACAGGACTCCCTGAAGGCTCGGGTGACTGTTAGAGTATTTCAGCAATGAAGTATTTAATTAAGGTAGGCACATGTTCTCTTAGACTTAATGCTATTGCACATTACTGGGCTATGGCACAGTGTAGACACAGCTTTATACGCCTGGGAAAGCAACCAGCTCCCGCGACTCTGCTGTGGTCTGGAGCTAACTCGCAGTGTCTCTGGGTCTGGCCCTACGTGCGTCAGTAATGCTCAGCCTCGCATGACCGGTTATAGCAAGACTCGGGAGCCACTCAATGCCCCTCAGTAGGAGGCTGGTTAAATTAGTTGTGAGAGATTTATATGAAACATACAATTAACTCTTCTAAAATTGACTTTATCTACATGTACTGACAAATATATATAAGATATCTGGTTAAGTAGAAAAATTAAAAAGTAGAGTGCAAAAAGGGTGTGCCTCTAACTGTATGATTCCCCCCGAAGTATATTCCCTATTTACCCTTGACACGTGTTTTTCTGGGAGGACCCAGGCACGGCTACCTAACACGGTCGTCTCTGTGGGCTAGAATTCAAGGTTGTGGTGGACAGACTAACTTTCACCCTATTTAAGATTTGTCAGAGGTTTACCTTTTCATCAGTTCAAATTTCAGAACGAATGGAAATAACACATGACCATACTGTTCACAGCTTTGAAATCAAACCTAAGACTAGTGCATAATGAATGCGGCGGAGATGCAATCAGTGTGCCTCTTAGACAGCTGCCACGGCTCCTGTGTCTCAGATCCCTGCCCCCAGCACCCCCCTGATCGCCTTGGGGTGGGTCACCTCCCTCCCTCTGCCCCGGAAACTGCTCCAGATTGAAGTGACGTCCCAGGAGGCAGCGGCACTTGCCATCACCACGCTGAACCCCGAGCCCCGCAGGAAAGGGCTTTGGAGGCACGATTCTGACCCCTTTACTAACACTTTTTAAGTTAGAAAGTTTAAGCCAGTTTAAAACGATGTTAGTGGACAGTCTATCCAGAACAGTCAGTGTTGGCTTAAAACTGTAGACAAGTGCGCTTCTGGGAGCAGGACCATGACGTGATATTGGGCTTGACTCCCGCATCGCAACGAGTCCACGAAGCTGTGAGCCGCCAAAGAAAGAGGTGAGAGAAAATGTCTAAAAGATACAAGAAACTCTATCTCAACCATTTAAAATGTATTTAAAAATGAAAAGTTTAAGATTTTAGGATTTAATGTTTAAGATTCAGAGCAAATGGCACACACATGCACATGTGCACACATGCACGCGGCATTTTGTGAGTCATGATTTTACTCTTTTATAAAGTTGAGTTAAAATACCCTTAACATAAATTTTACATCTTAACTATTTTCAGGATTACAGTTCAGTAATGTTAAAGGCTTTGTTTACAGCTAATCTCCAGAATTATTTTCATCTTGCCCAGCTGAAGCTGTGCCCCTCGAGCACTAACCGCCCAGGCCCCCTTCACCCTGGGCCTCAGCCCACTCCGTCTCTGCGTCGGGCTCCTCGGGGGCCTCGGGCGAGGACAGCCCCCCTCGTAGGGCATTTGCCTTGTGGTGACTACACTGGCTTGTCTCCCTCAGTGTGATGAAAGGCAACCTCTTGGTTCACCCATGTCGTTGTGTGTCAGTCCCCTCCTTCGCCAGGCTGAGTGACTCTCCAGTGTCTGCACAAACCATCTGGTTTGTCCGTTGGTCTGTCCGCGGACATTTGGGTGCTGCCACCACTTGGCGCTGCTGTGGAGGTGGGTGCCCGGTGTTGTCCTCACGGAGGCTGTCGTCTGCCTTGCAGGCGCAGACCCACGGGAAGTGGCCGGTGAAGTGGTACGCCCCTGAGTGCATCAACTACTACAAGTTCTCCAGCAAGAGCGACGTCTGGAGCTTCGGGGTGCTGATGTGGGAGGCGTTCTCCTATGGGCAGAAGCCCTACCGGGTTAGCCACCCTGTTCCGTGTCCTAGCTCTGCGGCCATCAGAACAGATGAGCGCCCCAAAACCATAGTCCCGGCATCCTTGGGTCTGGCTGTTTTTTGACAGTTAACACAACCTCAGTTTATTCTAAGCTGCAAGAGAAGTATTTCATACTAACTGAATAGTATGTCTTTTTTTCGTTGGAATTACACATGTAAATTTGCAAAAACATACCCAAATCAACATTAATTGAAGTTGAAATAGAAATTATGGCCATTTCCAGTCTCAAATTGGCAGCTCATTATATTTTTTTAGATTTTTAAAATTAAAGTATACATATCAAAAAACGCACAGATGCGAGGATGCAGCTTCATAGACCTTCCCAAATGGAACATGCCCCGGAAACCGGCCCCCAGATGAAGCCACAGAACAGAGCCCATCCCCTCCCCCTGCATGCAGGCCGCCCCGAGGGTAACCACACCTGACTTCTAGATCACAGTTAGGTGCCCGTCTGACTTTCAGATCACAGGTGCCCGTCTGACTTTTAGATCACAGTTGGGTGCCCGTCTGACTTCTAGATCACAGTTAGGTAGGTGCCCATCTGACTTCTAGATCACAGTTAGGTGCCCGTCTGACTTCTAGAGCACAGTTAGGTGCCCGTCTGACTTCTGGGTCACAGTAGGTGCTCCTGTGTCTGTACTTCCATGACTGAAATTGCACTCCATGTACCCTTTTGTTTCTTGGTGAGGATGGGGAATGGGATGTCCTCCTGGCTTTGTTTTGTTTTGCTGGATGCTGTGTTTAAAAAGCTCAGGTATATTCTGCATGTTTTAGGGGATGAAGGGAAGTGAAGTTTCCGCTATGCTGGAGAAAGGAGAGAGGATGGGGTGCCCTCCTGGGTGTCCGAGGGAGATGTACGAGCTGATGAACCTGTGCTGGACTTACGAGTGAGTACCGCTCCTCCCTGCGATCGATGATGCTCCGAGGCACACAGAATGGCCGGGCATAGGCGAGCATGAACTCCGTCTTTCAGGAGGCAGGACATGCTCCCTTCATGGTGGGGAGAGGGCTTGCCATGCACAACTATTCTTTAGTCTAAAAAATAAGTTTACACGGTTACTCTGATCCAGGATGTTGAAATTTAAATGTAGGTAATATTGGCACCCTCCCTGGGACTTCGCACATCTCCAGAGTAGGGTCCGCTCCCAGGGATGCCCGCAGCCACCAGGGCCCCCTGACCAGCTGGGTGCAGGGCGCGCAACACCTGCCGAAGCAGGGCAAGCCCGGGCTGTTCCCAGCGAGTGAGCCCGTGGGCCTTTACTAGTTCTTGAGTCTGCCTGCAGCTTCATTTGGAAGGTTTCACTTCCTCTGAGAAAAGTGAACTTCAGATCATTCTGAAACAAATGAAAGAAAGCTAGAATTAAAATGAACTCTGGGGGAGATGGTTAAAGTTGGTGTTTTGTTCTTGATGTGAGCACTGAATGTTATTCTCTCCCCTATTCTTTGTGGTGGACTTGGCCAGTGAAGAGCGGAAGGGTGGGTG